ATGAACCAACACCTGCCTTCTGTAGTGTCTTTAAAAGGAGCATAGGCCAAATGAAATGAGGGAATCTGACCTCCAGTCAGTGTGTCTGCAACTCCTGCAAGGCCTTGGACTTGGTTCTGGTTGCTTCTACCACTAACTTGCCCCTTGAAAGATGGCCAACGCGTGCTATGTTCCTGCTCTACCATCCGTTTCAGCTGCTGCCTACCTCTTAGGGCAGAACAGCCTGAGGCGGCTAGTGTCCTTTGAAAGGAGTTTGTTAAATGCCCAGGCCACAGCAAGTAGAAGGCCAAGGTAAAAAGTCAGTAGATAATCCTGGAAGGAGAGAGCCTTCGTGAGTCACCAAGCCTGCTTTCTGTGGCAGAGAGCAGAGCCATAGGACTTTCCAAGCCAGATTCCAAATGGCAAAAGGAAATATATTTTTAAGCAGGAGCATCACAAGTTCAAGGCCAGCCTCAGCAATTTAGCAAGGTCCTAAGCAACTTACTGGAGCTCTGTCTCAAAAAGGGCTGGGTATGTGGCTCAGTGTTTAAGCACCCCTGGGCTCAATCCCTGGTGTGTGTGTATAGATACACACACACACACACACATATATATTTTGAAGGTTGCTTCTTTACACTAGACTTCTTCCCACTTATTCAGAATTTTTATTCCTCTTCCCTAACTATTGCTTTTAGAATGCGTGGGGTTTGGGTTGAAATCCATTCCTGTGCCCCTTGTCCTTTAGTTGACATACAGGATTGTGCAGGCTCTGAGGTAGTCCGGGGTCTGTGTGGTTTCTCATCAGTCCCTGAAGGTCAAGGCTGGACCCTTCTCTCTGGCCCGTTTATAATTAGACTCACCCACTCACCATCACATCACTTCCAAATACATCTCACATCCTCTCCAGAAGATTCAATTTTAAGCCTCATTGGCCAAGATAAAGGTCTTAAGAAGCCCTTTTCTAAAACTGGCTTGTAAGCATGCAGGAGGAGCCTCTGAACTCCAGTAACTGCGTGGGCTACTGCTCATCACGTGACCCTGGGTGGGCGGGTTTCCCATGCTGCATCTTCTCCAGCCACTTCTCGTTACCATTCCCAGCTGCACCTGGGGAGAGTGGGTTAGGTTCTCTGATAGCGTCTGGGGTTTACAGGTGTGAGCAAGCTTCAGCGCCTCTCTCCTCCCTCAGGCCCCTGCTTGCTGCCTTTCCTTCTGCTCACAGCCCTTCCCAGTTATCAGTCTCCATCTCTCCCTGGTTCCCATTCACTGAATGCAGACACTGTTGTAGGCACTGGGGATGAAAAAACTTGCTGTACAAGAACTGACATTCTCATGGAGAAGATAAACAAAACTCAAAAGTGATGAAATAAGATGCAGCAGAGGTTAGTAGCTTAGTGAAAGTTGGAGGGGAGTGTTGATAGAGTATTTAAATGTGGTCTCTTTGTGGACAACATTTCACTGGAGAGCTGAATGGCAAGAAGGAAGCCTGCTGGACAGAGACTTGGGGGCAAAAACATTCCAGGCCAAGGGAAGAGCAAGTGCAGAGGCCCTGTGGTGGGAGCAAACGTGGTGTGTTCAGGCAAGAGTGAAGACAGTGTACTTGGGACAAAACCAATAAGAGGTAGGAGATGTTTAGAGAAGTAAGCAGGGGACTGGTCACCTGGGATCTTGTGAGTGATTTTTTTCTGAACAGTCAGAATAGTTAGTCTGTGGTAGGTACTACCTCACCCAATTGTGTGCTGTCTTCTATGCCACATAGCTGAGACTGGCCTCCATGGGTCACCAGTGTGTTAATGGGCACATGGCGCTCATCTATAGATGCATGAGCTCTGTGCTCTTGAGGTTATGGAACTGGTTTGGTAACTACATGTTAGATGAGAACTGGGCTCCTTTGAACTTAAGCTGGAGCAGAGAGTGTTCAGTCTGGATTTACACCTTCTTACTATGTCAATTACTCTTTTTTTTTTTTTTTGGTACTGGAGATTGAACCCAGGGGTGCTTTACCCCAGAGTTATGTCCCTAGCATTAAAATAAGTCAGGGTCTTGCTAAGTTGCTGAGGCTGGCTTTGATTTGCTGTCCTCCTGCCTCAGCCTCCTGAGCTGCTAGGATCACAGGTGTGAGCCACTGCACCTGGCCAAGTCAGCGACTGGCTGAGGATCTGAGCCAAGCCACCCTCTACCCTTTACTCTTTCATCAATGCTCTACCTGTTTTTACTTTGAGCAATAAGAATGTTCTCTCCATATATTGATTAGGTCTTGTCTGTGGCAGAGAGCCAACCCACAGGGAACTGATTGTCCTGTCTTTAAATCTTCTGAGACGGAGTGCAGGGGTGGCATCAGTACTCTCATCAGCCTGGCTCTCCACGGTGACGGCCAGATGTGCACTGGCCGCCCTGAGCTTGCCACTTACTATTGACCAACCCCGGTGGGAAGCGTCTCCTCCTGGGGAGCTGTGTGGAAGGCAGGCCCTCCATGGCTCCTGTGGCGCAGCCCGTCCGTCCTTGGCTGTGTCCAGCCACCGTGCCAGCCATTGGTTCAACCACTGGGTCCGGTCCCTCTTTCATTGGCTCAAGCCTGGGTTGGGCCCAGCTCATGTACTAGTCAATGTCACAGTAGTGACAGTGCTCACCTGGGTCTAGCCATCCCCGTGCCAGTCACTGATGCCAGAGGACTAGGTTGTCTCCCAGAGCCAGAGAATGATATCGAGTCCACGAACCACATGCAGTAAGAGTGGGGTGCGTTCCCCAGAGGAATTCTGGGGCACGGTCACAGCAAGATGGCGGGAAGGATGAGTGGCTGGGAAAAAATCTGTCCATCAGCCACTCTGGCCATACCTGTCACCTGGATCGAGCTCTCAGACACTTCCCCGTCGGGATGGAGTGGGGAGGAAGTGGTATGTTCTCTCTGAATTATGGAAGGGTTAAAAATTAGGAGGGAGAGAGAAGAGCCTAATGGTTTGTGTGTTTAACCAAAGATTCAGCTTGTGGGTTCTGTCTGCAGCGGGGTGGACCCCTAGGAGCCCGAGGGAGGGAAGGACCTTGATCACATCATAAGTGGACTCTAACTTTTGGCAAGCTCAAGGCCTCCAACTCAGAAGATGGGCTGTGACATCAGAGAAAGAGGAGGTCTAGCCCCAGGGAGCTGACAAGCCATTAGCCCAGGTTGGTGGAGATTGGAGCAGCCCGAGCCCTCCTCCAGCTCCTCGGTCCCCTGACTCCATGCCCCACCTGCTGTCACCTGCTGTCACCTGCCAGGCTCGCTCTCCTGTGCTCCGCTTCCTTCTCTTTTGCACAGCGTGGAAACTCAGGCTCAGGCCGCTGTGACCAGCATGTCCCTCAGTGTCCTGGATATTTTCCAGCTCTTATCTGCTTCTCTGTTGTGTCCTGGTTGCTATGGAATGTCCCCTTGCACTGTCCTCTCCTGGGACAGTTCCTCCTCCTTGGTTCTCCTCTCTCTTTCCTTTCTCTGCCCGCCTTTCCAGCATTGGCATCCCCAAGTGCCACACGTGGTCCACGTGAGACTCTGAGGATTCTGTCCCAAGAAGAAGGGGAGAACCAGCTGTACTGTCGGCTGAGTTCAGCGCTGAGTTTCGGGTCCGCTGTTGCATCTAACTGTGTCCTGGACGAGTCAAACCCGAAATACCCCAGTCGGGGTTTGTCCCCCCCCAACCCACCCACCCAGTGTTCTCCTCCTGGTACTTTCCATCTTTGGTGATGGGGATAGTTGAGGTACCTGTGGCCAGAGCTAGACCCAGGAGATACCTCCATCCCCCCCAAATGTAATAAGTCCTGGGATCCTGGTTTTAAAAAAAAGTTGCTTATTTTTTGAGATGAGATCTCACCATGCTGTCTGTCCTGGTGACTTCAAACTAGGCCCAAGCAATCCTCCTGCCTCAGCCTCCCAAATTGCTGGGATTACAGCGTGCACCACTGCGCTGGTTCCTGATATTTCTTTCCTTTTTCTTTTCCTGGTGACACTAGGGATTGAACCCAGAGTGCTCTGCCAACCTCTGAGCTACATCCACAGCCCTTTATTTCTTATTTTGAGACAAGCTCTCACTAAGTTGCTGAGGCTGGCCTTAAACTTGTGATCCTCCTGCCCCAGCCTCCCAGGTCTCTGGGATCACAGGTGTGCACCACCCTGCCTGGCTGCTGCTGCTGCTGCTGCCCTTTTTAGAAGAGGAGGGAAAGTTTATTTGGGGGCTCCAGTTTCAGAGGTTCAGTCTGTGGTTGACCGACTCCATTGTCCTGGGCCTGAGGTGAGGCAGAGCATCGTGGGGGCGGGGGCATGGTGGAGGAGAGTGATGCCAATCATGGCAGCAGGAAGCAGAGAGAGCTGCCCCTGGGTGTCTTAACAGGTCAGAAAGGCCCACTGGTTTAGCTCCTCTGTTTTAATCCTCCTGGCCTCCAACCTCAACCTCAGCCTCCCTGACTTCCTCAGTGCCCCGAAACAGACTTTCTCTCCTTCTGTTTCGTGTCTTTTCCTCCTGCACCTTCATATTCTTTCACCTGCTGCTCAGGCGTCACTTGTCCCGGGAGGTCCCCCTCCTAACTCAGGTTGAGTTGGGGACTCCCTCCCCAAGCATCCTGGTCACTGCAGAAACGCTTCTCATTTTCACTGTGGTGGAGGTTTCTCTGATCCTGTGTGTGTCCAAACACACAACATGTGCTCTACATAGACGTCCGCGTCACGTGACGGTGTCCTGTGCATGTGTTCTTACACTCACCACGGATGGCACCTTACATCTCCTCCACGTACACGGCCCCCTGAGGGGAAGCGGGGGTCTTGCGGACACTGTGTGTGGCTATCTGGGTCCTATGGTAGGTGCTCAGTAAAGATTCGTGGAGTGACATACATCAATCTTAACCCGTGGAATGTGACAGCTGGGCTGTTTTTTGCTTGGATTTAGTTTCTGTTTGGGAGCAATATTTTATCACTTAATCCAGAATCAACTTCAAGAATTTGTCATTGTTGTTAAAGATGACCCAAATACGGGCTGTCACTTTGAAACCTTCTCTCCTAGACACCATGCCCCAGGAAGTGTGATCCCTTCCCCGTTTCTACCATGGAAGACTCGGGAAAGACTTTTGGCTCCGAGGAGGAAGAAGCGAGCTACTGGAAAGATCTGGCAATGACCTACAAGCAGAGGTGAGTCCTGCAGAGCCCAGCTGGCCTCCTGCTCCTGGGAGAGTTCTCATTGCTGGCCCGTCATGCACCTGCCCCGTGAAGGGCCCATCTCACACTCAGAAGGCCCCCTGAAGGAGCTGCTGTCGCCTGTTTTATAGATGAAGAGAGCCTCGGGGAAGGCAGCCTCCTGCCCAGGGTCACGGCCAGCGAGGAGCAGAGCTGGGATCTGCTGCAGGGCTGTGCCTAACCGCCCCGCCACCTGCGAGCGTGGAAACTCGGGCCACTGTGACCGACAGCCAGTTCCTGGATGCTGCTGCACTCAGTTATAAATGGGGTTTTTAGAAAAGAACTTTCCCCTGTGCCTAACAAAACAGGTTGTTGGCAGATTTTAAAATCGGAAGCCAATGCTCCAGTGGGCACGTCTGGAGCTGTGTGTGAGAGTCCAGTGCTTGTCCTTGTTGGACTCTTAGGATCTCCACGTGAGGTCTTGTTCCAGTCCCTCTCGTTTCTTTATTCTTAGTTTGATTTAAAGTTTATTCAGGTTTGGTTTTGAAGGGAACAAGTCTTTTGAATTTTAAGGATTGAGAAGCCAGACAGACTTTTGGGATGGGCTGGGTCAGGCCTATGGTGGAGATACATGTATGAAATAGATCTGCAGAGGATACAAAATCCCAAGTATACTTGCTACCTGTTGGTATATGCTGACTGACTGAGCGAATGGTGAGTTTGTTAAGAAATGGCTTTGAGTCAGGTACATGGGAGTTAGTTCCTAATTCTGTTTGATTTCTTGTGTGATGGTTAGACAAGTTACTCATCTTGTGTAAACCACATCTTGTGTGTAAAATGGAAGTACTGTCAGTGAAGAGGTGATCTGTGTCCTGCAGTGACGGGCACAGTGCAGCACATACTAGGTGCTCAATAAATCATCATTTGACTTTGGGCGATTCTGCTGCAGGGCAGAGAATACGCAGGAGGAACTTCGAGAATTCCAAGAGGGAAGCCGAGAATATGAAGCTGAGTTGGAGACACAGCTGCAACAGATCGAGTCCAGGAACCGGGACCTGTTGTCGGAGAACAACCGCCTTCGCTTGGAGCTGGAGACAGTCAAGGTGAGGGCTAGGCGAGGTGTGCTCAGGCAGGGGCAGGCCTGCAGCAAGGGCAGGCTGGAGGAGGGGCGCTGGGGGGTGTGGGCCAAGACCAGGTCCCTCTCCTGCAGTCCTGGGGGAGGGGTGGTCAGTGCACTTTGTGTCCCTGTTGGATGGAGCTCTATGGGAAGCAAGTCACACCCGTGTCCCAAGGCCTTTCCTGGAGCTCTGGGCTGATTTCCCAGGGCACATGGCAGGGAGCTCTTTGTGGATGTTGGATGGTCACTAGAGTTGCTGATGATCATGAGGCCCAGGGTTGTGCTGACCAGGATGGTAACCCTAGCTACAGGTGGCTGTTGAAATGGGAGTTAATGGGAACACAGCCCTCGATGCCCCAGTCACACGTTTCTAGTGCTTCTTGGTCACCTGCGGCTCACGGGTGTCGTTAGTGGGCAGAGGCCTGCGGAACGGGTACCTCGTTAGAGTGTGAGGGGACGTTTCCCAGTGCAGACCCTGCGGTCACCCCCTATCTGCAGTTTCACTTTCCATGGTTTTAGTTACCTCAGAATGTATTATATGGAAAATTCCAGACAAAAACAATAGTTTTGAGTAACTTTTATTCTGCTTTATTGTTATAATTATTCTACTTTACTGTTATTAATTTCTTAAAGGGGATGAGTTAAACCTCATCCTAGGGGGGGGTGTGTGAGATAAACACCTGCACACAGGGTCGCAGACATCTGAAGTCTGGGCATGGCTGAATGCCTCGGAGGTGTCCCTGTGGAGAAAGGGAGCTGCCTCTGGATGTGTGAGCCACGAGGTGCATTGTGGGTGTCTAAGGGCACCCTGGCCTCCCTCCAGCGCGTACCAGTGGGCATCTCCTTATCTCTGGGGTTGAAACAGCCAAAATTCTCTCCACATGTGGCTGAGCCCGGGGAAGCCCCTGCTCTGACGGTGATGATGCCTCCTGTGCATTCTGTAGAACTTAGCAGATGACCGTCGGGGGCTCTCAGCCTGGCTGCCAGTCAGGACCACCAAGCCGGCTTCATTAATGCCTGGCAGACCTGGGCAGTCCCATCCTGTCTACCCCAGCTCTGCTCCACCATTCTGAGATTCCACTTCTCAGTGATTTGGGGGCAGGGCCCTGACATGTCTGTACGTGTCTGTCCGCTTCTCTCTCTCCAAACACATTTTAAAACATTTTTTTAAAGTTTTTATTAGGGGCTGGGGTTGTGGCTCAGTGGTAGAGCACTTGTCTTGCACGCGTGAGGCACTGGGTTCAATCCTCAGCACCACATAAATAAATAAAGTATTGTGCCCATCTACAACTTAAAAACTTTTTTCTTTTTAAATTTTTTTTTGAGTGCATTCTAGGCATACCTAATAGTGGGGTTCATTCTGACCTAATCCTACTTGCATGGCACGTCAGGCAGTTAGGGAGATGGCGCTCTGTCCCATTGTTCTGCTGTGAGAGCTTCTATGAGGAAGGTCTATGTGGGTTGCAGAAGGCTTCATGTGGAGCTGAGAGGGACTTCAGCTGGGGTTGGAAGGGGGGCGGTGTGTGTCTGTCTGTCTCTGTGTGCAGCCACCGATGTGCTTAGGGGCTGGAGTGTATGAGAGAAGTTCCTGGGACCTGTGTCAGAGAGGACAGGGTGAGTAGCAGGTGGAACCCTGGCCTTCCTGTGCATGGGAAAGAGCAAGACCAGCACATGCCCTGGGGATTCAGAGAAGGGACCGGAAAGGCCCCAAGACCTTGGAGGCTAAACAGTGAAGTCCCCACTTGGTGCAGTAGACCGAGAGCCCAGGCTGGCCATCGACGCACAGGTCCGTCCGGGCCCTGGATGTTTGCTGGACCCTTTACTTTTTCCCAGCATTTACCTTGAAAGGTTCCAAGAACCCAGCAAGGGGAGACCTCTCCAGGGGACACCTGCGTGTCTGCCTCCTGGTCTCTCCCGTGGCCTTGCCATCCTGCCTCCTCTGTGTCTGCCCCCCCTGCCAGCTTATTTTCGGATGCATTTCAAAGTCAGCTGCAGATTGTGCACATCTTCCCCTGAGTTCTGCGGCCGGCTTTGCATTAACCAGACTTCAGATGTTTGTTTACAGTTTTCCCTCTCAAGGGTAAAATGTCTATTTTTAGGTTTTTAAAAAATATTTAACATCCCAATCTAAGGTGTGTAGAAAAATCTGGATCTCTGACTTCCCCTGAGAAGCAGTGGAGCCGGCCACGCCAGGCCTGCGTCCGCCCACACCAGCAGGGAGCTGAGCCCCACCTGCCCGTCCTCTGCCTCCAGTGCCCAGGGCCAAGTGTCGGGGGTCTGTTTGGGTTGCACCGGGGCCACCTCCCTCCCTCCTGTGACAGCCTGACCTCTGCCCGTGGCCTTGGTTCTTAATTTGGAGAGGACTTGGGGACAAAAGCTACACAGAGTGAAGGATTGCAGGCCGCCCTGTGGTTTGGAGAGCGCGGGACTCCCTGGAGGCTGAGTGTCCCTTGGTTTCTGAGTAATCAGCTGCTTTAACCTGAGCCTGCAGAAGCCCTCTTTAGCACAGCTTCCCAGGGAGGAAACAGATACCTCCGAGGACGAGTGCGCTGCCCCCAGTACGCATCTGTCCATCACCTAAGAGACACGCTCTCGCGACGGGCTTCTGGACAAGTGGCCCATTCATGGCGCTGAAGCTGCGCCTGGCAGGAATCAGACAGAGCAGCTATTGAGGCCCCGTCAGCTGATGGCTCCTTCTGATCAGCCCCAAGTGAAGGCGCAAGAAGACAGGACAGCTTGCCATGTCCGCAGTTCAGAGGACACCATCTGAATCCGAGGGGTAGAGAAGTCCGCTCCCTGCATCCTCTCGGAACCTGCAGTGGAGTCGCGGTGGTGACCTAGGACCCCGGCTTGCTTAGAGACGGACGGCTCCAAGCAGAGGGTGCAGGGCGGTCAGATCCCCACCTGGGAACTGGCCAGGCCACTCTGCTCACAGCCAGGGATGGAGCAGCAGAGGGACCCCGGCGGCCCGCGCGAGGGTATGGAATGCCGTCCTGTCACCACCCTGTGAATAACCGGCTGTTCTGTGGCCCGAGCACCATGACGTCACCCCCCAGCGCATCCGGACCCTGTCTAGCAACAGCTCTGTGTGCTGGACCGAGTGGAGGAGAAGCTGGCCTTTGTTTTCAACTTTCCCAGTGGACCTTGGGCCTTTCTTGTGGGACGTGTCTTCTCTCATGTGTTTGTGGAATCCAGGAAGGGGGTGGGGCTGAGGGTGCCTAACATGGGGGACCTGGGCTGATCCCTGGCACCACGAAATCAAATACATAAATAAAATACAGAAACAAGTGTGGGAAGGCTGTGTTGATGCAGAAAGGAACTTGAAAGACGAGCAAAAGTAGGAGAAAACGTGGTCGGCACGTCGGTGACCTGGAATGAAGTGGCTTAGGGCTGCTGAGTGTCACCGTGTTTGGTCCTGGGGATTGAACTCGGGACCCTCTACCCTGAGCTCTAACCCCGGTGCTTTTTATTTAGAGACGGGGTCTCACTGAGTAGCTGAGTCTGGCTGAGAATGTGTGACCCTCTGCTTTGGCCTCCCAAGTCGCTGGATCACGGGCATCTGCCACCGTGTCTGGCTAGGGTCGTCTTAACACCACCAGCTCAAGTGGCGGGCTCAGTCTTGACTGGGTCGTCTGCGGCCAGTGGGTTTGGGCTGGCTGTGTAACTGAGCCTCAGTCCCCATATCTCAGGCTGGCGCTGAGATCAACACGCAGTACATGTAAACTGCTTCACGTGGGCCACAGCCAGTCCCTGAGACACCACCCGTGATTCCCTGACTTTGGAAAGTACCAACCAGTCACTCCAAGCTTCCTCTGGTACTTAGTGATTGTTTTCCTTCCATTTCCTGATCTCCCGCCCTCCTTGCCCAAAAGTTTCCCGTAACTTCCCCTGTGCTATAGGGGACTGTCAAAGGACGTTGTCACACTGCTTGCCCGATGCCCTCCTCTAATCCTGATGCACAAGCACCTGTGGTCCCCCCTGCTCGGTGGTGCAGGATGCACGTTAGGCGAGGCTTCCTCTGTCCATGGACACCTTAAATGGTTGGGGGCTGTAGGGACCAGGTTTGGGAGTGGGCAGGTACCACATGCTGTGGGGGGGTGGGAGGGAGCGGGAAGCACTTGGCATGTGGCTGGAGCACTAGGTCAGGACATGCCTGCCACCTGTCCCCACGGTCTTCTGTCACTCCCAGGATTCCAGAGTCTGGAGGGAGCTCCTGTTGACTGAGCCTAGGCAGGAGATGGGGGTGATGGGAGGGAGAGAGACCCCGTGAAGAAGGGTGCGGGTGGGACACGCAGAGAGCAACCAGCGCCCACTCCCAGGGGAGCTCCTGTCCCCGGAGCGTTGGAAGGAGGCACCAGGAAGACAGACTGGCGTGGCTCACCCTCTCTGGTTTTATCCTTAGGAGAAGTTTGAGCTGCAGCACTCTGAGGGCTACCGGCAGATCTCCGCCTTAGAGGATGACCTGGCGCAGACCAGAGCCATTAGAGATCAGCTGCAGAAGTACATCCGGGAGCTGGAGCAGGCCAACGACGACCTGGAAAGAGCAAAACGGTGCGTCAGGAGGGAGAGGACGGGGAGAAGGGCGGCTTTCCTCCTGCCCTTTACTCCAGCACGTTGGCACCAGGCACAGAGAGCTGGGCAGTGACCGAGCAGAGCCAGTGCCCTTTGGGGTCTCGTGGGGGAAACAGACAGTAGGCAGGCATGAGCTCACTAATTACAGCAAAAAATGCTGGAAGGCCAGGAGCTGGGGGACTGTAATAGAATGAATTAATTTGGCCATTGGTGGGATGGTCAGGCAAAGCCTCCCACAGGAAATGCCATTTAGGCCAAGACTGAAGGCATGAATAGCCATTATCCAGGAAGGGAAGCGAGATAAAAGCATTCCAGGCAGAAGGATGAGCATGTGCTAAGGTCCTGAGGTAGGCAGGAAAGGAACACATTAACAAAACAGTATTCCCTAAACTGATGTTCTGTGGTTTAGCAGAACACAATATTTATGGGATAATTACTCTCTCTATAGGCACTTTTTCATTTAAAGAAAACTCTTTTTAAAAATATTAAAAGTATTCTCTACCCCTATAAATATGTACAATTAAATAATTTATATATAAATTACAATGAAATGTGCAGATCTCAAGTGTACAATTCAGTTAGTTTTGAAAAATGCTCCCATTCATGAAGCCCACACTCCTACTGAGATACGGAGCCCTTTGATTTTTCCAGAGTTCCTTCTGTTGTTTTAGTGGTTGCTTTGGGGATGACTGTACACATCTCCAGTTTTTCAGTCTTAAGTTAATATTGTGTCTCTTCCATTTTTGCATCTACAAATCTGTTGTATAGACCTGATACATCTAGGAGTGCTGAGGAATTCATACTACATTGTTATAACTTTTGCTTTAAAAAGTCATGAAGAAATTAAGAGGATGGAAAAATAGTCTCACATATTTATCATTTCTGGTGCTTGGTGCTCTTCCTTCCTTGCTGAAGCCGTTTCCATCTGACTCCACGCCCCTCCAGCTTTAAGAACGTCCTTAGGATTTCTGATGGCGTAGCTTTTATCTGAAAATATCTTTGCCTTCATCCATGAAGGGTGTTTTCACTAGGTGTGGGTTCCGAGTCGACAGGACTTTGGTTTTGTGTTTTCGACTAGCACCTCTAGGTGATTTCATTGTCTTGGCCTCCGTTTCTGATCACAGTTGGAGGTCATTCCTATGTTACTGCCCAAGTGTCAAGTGCTGCCTTCTGGCTGCTCTCAGATTCTGTTTCCTGGTGTTCAGGGTGGACTAGAAGGCATCTCGCTCTGTGTGTGTGTGTGTGTGTGTGTGTGTGTGTGTGTGTGTGTTTTGGTACCAGGGATTGAACCCAAGGGTGCTCAACCACTGAGCCACACCCTGAGCCCTTCTTATTTTGAAACGGGGTCTCACTAAGTTGCTGAGGCTGGTCTTGAACTTGCAATCCTCCTGCCTCAGACTCCTGAACCTCTGGGATTATAGGTGTGCACCACCACTCCTGGCTGAGGTTTTATTTGTACTTAGGCTGATGGGGGTTTGCTGAGTTTCTTTAATCTGTACATTTGTCTTTTGCCAAATTTAGCTTTGATCAGTCTTTCCTCAAAATTTTTTTCTCTGCCATTCTTTCTCTCCTGTTCTTCTGTGATACCAGTTAAACTCATGTCTTTTTGATACAGTTAGGTCTAAGAGAGAGAGAGAGGGGAGAGAACGTGTGTGTGTGTGTGTGTGTGTGAGTGATTTTTAAGTTCTTTGTCTTGGCTTCTCAAATTGCACAGTACTATTCTAGTTTCAAGTTCACAGAGTTCCCTTCTCTAATCTGCTATTAAACTGTATCAAATAATGTTCGATTTTATATGTGTTATGTTTCACATCAGGAACTTTCATTTGGTTCATATGTGTATAGATATAATTTCTATTCCCCTACTGAGATTTCTTCCTGTGCATCCTTGAGCATAGTTACAATATCTATTTTAAAATCCTTTTCTGCTGTTTCCAACATCTGGGTTGTCTCAGGTTTGCTTTCCAGTGATTGCCTTTTCTCGTGACTTGGATCACATTTTTCTTGCATTTTACAAGTCTAGCAATTCTGGGTAATATTTTGGACATCGTAATTCACATATTAGGTGGAATTTTCTGTTACTATCTTGTTCTTTGGTCTATTTTCAAGTATAACTTGGCTGAATTTACATTCCAAGCTGTCTCCCGTCTGATGGGCAGTAACTGAAATCTATTTTGGTTTTTTGTTTGTTTTCTAAGCCCTTACTGGATGCTCTGGATGCCTCCTGCACAGGCGGTTTCGGGACCCGCGGGAGGTGGCGAGTGTGGGCAGCACTCGAGGCTCTCTCCTGAGGCTGGATTTCTCTGTGGGGCCTTAGGTCTGAGGCTTGGAAATGGGTCATGTCCCCAGTGCTGTTCCCTTCTCCCAAGCGTTGCTGCCTTCTGCTTCTGCCAGTGCCTTCAGATAGTTGTTTTTGCACATTTTCCCGTGCGTTTATAGTTTGCAATCTGTAGGAGGCTTGGTCTGATACAAACTGGCTCATTTTTATCAGAAGTGGGACCTCCTTTCTTGTCAATTTGTAAGAGTTCTTTGTTCATTTTTGGTACTAACCTTTTGTCCTGCATTGAAAAATTGTTTTTTTCCAGAATAATCTTTTTCTTTTTTATTTGGCACCAGGAATTGAACCCCTGGGGTGCCTAACCACTAAGCTACGTTCCCAGCCCTTTATATTTCATCTTGAGACAGAGTCTTGCTACATTTCTGGGGCTAGCCTTGAACTTGTGATCCTCCTGCCTCAGCCTCCTTGACCTGCTAGGATTACAGGTATGAGCCACTGTGCCTGGCTCAAAATAATCTTTTGTCTGACTTTGTCCATCATTTTCCATACAAATATTTTCCATTTCCAGGTCATCAGTTACATCTCCCTTTATAGCTTTGTTTCCTCTCTTTCTCTTTTTAGAAAATCTTTTTTATTGTTTAATTTTTTACATTTACTGCCTTAATTCACCTAGAGTTTGTTTTTTATATCTAGGATAAGATATGGGATCAACTTTATTTTCTTTAGGTGGATAACCCATTTTTATGGTGCTGTTTATTGAACACCCCGTCTTTTTTCCCCCCTGATTTGAAGTTGATGTTATGTTAATCTCCTGTGCATCCTGGGGTCTAAATTCTGGATTCTCTGTTTGGTCCAATATACCATTTGTGAATGGCTCCACCAATACCCTGGGGACTTGAGCACTGTGGCTTTGTAGTAAGCAAAGCCACATTCGACTGGTGGAAGCTACTGGCATGCTGTCATCTCCACCCCCATATGGCTGGTCACAGCAAGTTACATGCCACACTGCATCAAAGAGTGTGGGTGCAGAGAGGGAAGAGGAATTGGGACCATTGATGGTCCTCCCCCACAGGTAGTGCATCACACAGTTCAGAAAGGATAGGCAAAGGAGTAGTTTGATTTTTTTTTTAATGCAAATTAACATTTATTTATTTATTTACTAGTTTTCGGCAGACATAACATCTTTGTTTATATGTGGTGCTGAGGATCGAACCCAGGCCGCACACATGCCAGGCGAGCGCACCTCTGCTTGAGCCACATCCCCAGCCCTTAATGCAAATTCAAGTCAATAAAAATCGACATTCTTTTTATCTCCTTTCTCTATCTAACCCATAGAAGAGCGCGGTGCACGTGCTGTTACGCATTGGAGAATCTTGGAGATAGATCGGTAGATCTTCAGAATCTTGGAGGTCTGTTGTTGTAGGACACAGCATTCTTTGTTCTTTTCCCCCCAAGTGGAATATTACATATGTAATATTCTATCGACAGTTGGTATCATGTGGTAGGATGCCATAGTAATTTATTTACCGAGTCCCCAGTGGATGGATATCACTCTTGAATTTTTGATCTTTTACAATGATAATCACTGCTGTGTCGAATGACTACTCACAGATATAGACTGTAGAATAAAGTCCCAGGACCTAAACTGGTGTTTCTGAGGATATATGCATTTGTGATTTTGGCAGGTGTTGCTGGGTTATTCTCCACCTGGTGGGTCCAGCATCCCTGCTGGGTCTCCCTACCTCTCTCCAGCGCACCTTGCCTTGGGTGGAATGTACTTCCCTACCTTTGACTGGGCGTGGCCATGTGACTTGCTTTGATCAATGAGATTTGGTGGAAATGACAGGATGCATATGAATGGCTGTTTTAGAAGTAGCTTCACAGTAGTTTTCAAGCTTAGGATTTCTTCCTAAGAGGTGAGAAACAGGCTGATTTCTGAATCCTAAGTGTCTTTGAGTTTCTTTTCATCTACTGCAGAACTATGTCATTTCCCTTACTCTGGACTGTCCTGGGGGTCAGACCAGGGCCTCGCTCGTGCTAGGCAGCCATCTTCCAGCGAGCTCCAGCTCCAGCTCTGTCTGTGGGTGGTTGGTTGGTGGGTTTTTTTTGTTGTTGTTGTTTGCTTTTCATTATTCTCAGGATGTTCTTATGTACTTGATATGAGTTGGAAGTGTTGGGAGCTGGCCCTGGTCCCCGGCTTTGCCCGCGGAGTCTTTACTGGTGCGTCGGCTGTTTGGCTTCCGAGTAGCCCTGCTCCTTGCTCAGTCCTGGGGCCTTCTGCACTCAGAAGCACTTAGCCGCTTTTCTTCTGGCATTTTTTCTCCTTTTTTCTTTGTCCCTCCTCTCTCCTCTCTCAGTAAAGAAGTAGCAGCCCAAGGCACCGTGACGGGACTGATGAATCTCTAGAATGCCAAGCTTTGTTGTTTCCCAGGAACTGTAACGTGAAGATTTATTAGGAACGTTGAAACAGGACATTCTGTTGCAGCAACAGCACTTTTCAGCACCATTGGTGGTCCTTCTTCCTGTCCTGATGCTGCACACCTGTACAAGTAGTGACTCACCTTCCACCGGGGGAGGGGACCTTGGGCAAGGATGGCTTGAAAGACTGGGGGCCTCACTAGAAGAAGCTAAATTTACATACAACCCTTAAAAGTTATTTTATTTCATACATAAGTGTTAAGACACCAAAAATTTCCACAGAAATTAAAATGGACTGATCTTATCACCTGCATGTTTTTATCTGATAAATCTGTTGTTTTCTGGAAAACCGTTTCCCTCTCTAACTCTCTTCCACCTCTTAACAGTACATGGCAGTAGCAGCTTCCAGCCATTAATCCTTGTACATTTTACTCTTCTAGTAAATACACCCACAATTGATCAGTCGACAGGTAGAGTCTCAACACATAGAGCCCAGGAGGTAGTTTTAACTTGGGTTATCATTAGGATGCTGACCTTTTATTTGAAAGCAAATTCTGCAGTAGTCACAGTGAACCTGAAGGACGTGGCTTGCCAGGATTATCAGTGCCATCGTGCTGCTGGTCACGCACATCACAAGACTGCGGACTTTGGACCACAAATGGCAGGAACGCTGCTGAGGTCTTCAGTTCTCTGTCGTTCCAGAAGCCAAATAGTCGATTTGGAGCAAATACTGAGTTTAAGTTTCTGATGCCAATGGCATTTATCTTGGGCTGCACCAAGAGTTTGGAATCCAACCCCCTTTTCCAGGCGGCCGCCTAAGCCTAGACCTGACCTGGCCATCTTTCCCCAGGGTGTGTGGTGCTGCTGGACCATGTGCCATGGTTGTTTTTGCCTCTACCTCTGGACCTGAAGTCCCCCCAGGCCGCCTGTCCTTCTTACCAGGGCCTGCCTTCATCACCCAGGCTCTAGGGTAGCGTGTCTTCCGCCTGCTAGGGCCAGCTCCCCCAGGACTGAACCCGGGGCCTCACAGGGGGCTACACCCCAGCCGCTCTCCAGCCGTTCTTGTTTCTTTATTACGTGATCTTTCAAGTCTTCCGGCCCAGCCCTGTATCTTTGTGAAAATGGTAGCAGGTTTGTCATGAGCTCCTGGAGAGCCGACTCCTTCCGGATATCGCGTCCTCCGCTCCATGAACAGCAGGTCTGTGTTTCCGCGGCGTCTCGTGTCCTTGCGTGTTCGTTGTCACAGGATTCCTAGCCGTGCCACGTTCATGGTCGTGTGGCGCCACCCTGAGGGCATTTTAACTTGTTCTTGTGCTCCTGGGTGCGATCCCTTTGTTGTTTTGAATTAGCCTTTTCTGGAGAATTTATCCCACTTCTTCCAAAGACTCTCCCAGGGTGGGTGCGAGTGTGACTCCAGGTAGACGTTGAAGGAGGGAAGGAATCCCTGCTTGCTTTGCAGGCAAAGGGACAAGGACACTCAGGCCTCTGTGGAGGAGCTTGGTGTTGGTTCCTGGTTCCATGCCAAGCGTGTTTCCAGCCACCATGGACTATAGTTAGCAGGACGGTAGAGGCCCTCTGGAGACCAACACAGGGTCACAAATAAAAGTCTCTGGGGGGAGAGCACTTGCCTAGTGTGCGTGAGGCCCTGGGCCTCTTCCCCAGCACCGCAAAGACAAAATCACTGGCGCTTGGTGTGGCGCTCCTGCGGGTGCTCTTCGTCTTCCTTTATCCCCCAGCTCTTACTGGGGACTCACTACCATGCCCGCTTCACACGATAGGAAGTGGAGACCCAAAGCTTGCCAGAGCCAAACTCTTCCCTCCATTCCGGCCCTTCTCAGCCCCCTCACTGCTGTGCCCCAGGCTGACGTCCTCTCTGTTCACGGGGATTGTTGGCAGGGCGGGTGGCCTGGGCTGGGCCTTCAGAACTTTCTAAAGTAATTGCGCTGTCTCGTCTGCCTGTTTAAATGAGTGTTGCTGAATTGCATCAGTGTTTATTAGGCAGGTCTCTATACTAGTTTGCTTTGTGAACTTCAAGGAGAAGGCAGAACTGGCTACTTACCAAGGACTGGGTGGGTCGTGTCCTCTGCTGAGGCCCTGGCTGGTTGCTGGGGCAGTGTGCACAGTGCCTGACTCACCTCTGTGCTCCTGGGTGACTCCCATTCCTCAGTCGGCAGCCTGAGCCCCTGAGCTAAGGGACCTGCCTAGGTCTGTGGCTTGGGTCCCTGAGACATGTAGGAAGCCCAGTGCTGGGACTTGGGCCCAGGTATATCTGACCTGCAGTGTCTCCTGGGTCTGTAGGTACCGGTGGACGCTGCCCCTTGCCCTCCTGGACAGCTTTGCTTTTCTCTTATCTAGAGCCACGATCATGTCTCTGGAAGACTTTGAGCAGCGCCTGAATCAAGCCATTGAGAGAAATGCCTTCTTGGAAAGTGAACTTGATGAGAAGGAGAACCTTCTAGAGTCCGTCCAGCGGCTGAAGGACGAAGCCAGAGGTCAGGAGGGCCTGGGCCTTGTCCTGCGACTTCACGGGTGTGGTCCTCTCTTCCACCCTGACAGGACCTGTCCCCTGGCCTGGCCCAGCGCTGCCTTCCCTGGAGACCTGTCCCCCTCTCTGCACACAATTAGCCAGGCAGAGGACCGGGACACCCTGGGCAGTCCCTTGCCTTGGTCCCTCTCCAACCTCAGAATTGTCAGCTGCCCTCAGTATTTAGGGATCATCTGTAACCCCCTTCGGTATTCACAGAAATAGCTTTAGGGTTCACAGATTAGGGCCTTGCTGTGGGTTTTGCCTCGGCAGCAGAATTCATTTCCGGAAAGATGCTTCTTCTTCTTCGTCTGTAATTGCCACAGGAGCCCAGCCAAGCTGGCTTGGACCTCAGTAGGAGCACAGGAGTTTCATGGGGAGGAAAGTCCTCCTGGTGGAATGGCTTCATGTGGCTTAGAACTCTGAACCTCGTCCACGAGAGTGTGGCAGTTCCTGACTTAAGGCTTTTGGACTCGCCACTGCGTGCATTCATGAGGTGTCCAAGATGGCACACGAGAGTTTTTTGAAGTCCTAGTTGTTTATAAGATTGATTTGATTTCTGATATGTAGTAAGTAGGTAGGGGAGTTAAGAGAACAACGAAAACCCCCAACTGTTACATTTAAAAAGTACCACTGAAGTTTTAGATTTTGAACCATTTCAGATTTTCAGATTAGGGATGTTCAGCCAGTGAAATCTACATAAATATTTTCCAAATTTGGAAAAAACTACAAAATCTGAAGCACTTCTGGTCCCAGCATTCTGGATAAGGAATGTCAACTGTAGTTACTGCTACAGCATCATGAAGTGACTGAAAATATTACTTAGGTCTAGTTTATGGAACGTTAGACATTTGTTAAAATGAAACAAAGGTTAGATACCAAACAGGACGTGAGGCAGTAGGGAGTGGCCGGGTCTGTGGAGAAGGACAGAAACCCTGTCTAGAGGGGCAGCCACCGCTCACTCCTCCCACAAGGAGTGTGGGCTCATGACACGGATGTGGCCATTCCTCACCAGAGACCTTCTTTCCAAATATGTAATCCCCCGTTTTAGATGAATGGATGGAAAAAAAAGTGGTATAAATACACAATGGAGTTTTATTCAGCCATAAAAAAAGAATGAATGTCCTGTGCAGGAAAATGGATGGAACTTGAGAGCGTTCTGTGAAACTCAGAAAGTCAAGGATCTTGTACTTTCTCTCATAGGTACAAATTCAAAAGGAAAAAGGAGAAGAATGGTTGGGGGGAATCTCCTGAAAATTGAAGGGAGACCAGCAGAGCAGAAGGGAGGGAAATACTGAGGAGCCATATTGACCAAAGTGTATGTCGCATTGTGTGCCTGTAGAATGTGTGACGGTGACTCCCCCCGTTGTATGTGGTCGTGATGCACCAGTAAAACACGGAGGGTTTTAAATATAAAAGAGGAAAGATGCTACAACCCAGAAGAAAAGGGCTGAGAAGATGTCCCGAGTGTTGGGACCACTCAGGAGTCACGGGGCATTGGAGGGAGCAGTGCTTCTGGGGGAACGCACACCCTCCTTGCTCCAGGACCCTGGGTGCACTGCTGCGTTGAATTTCTTTAACAATCAAAGCCATAACGTGTCGCTACCACAGTTTTAAACCTTTTTTTTTTTTTTGAAACTCAGAAACCAGATCACATAGTTGGCCAAGCTGCTCGGCAGGGTCGTGAGGGTCTCCCTCCACCTGGGGCTTCCTCCTGGAGTTTTCTCCCCTCTCCCTGTGGGCCGCCCTACCCCCCGCTCCAAAGCAGGACTCCCATTTCTGGATTCTTCTCCTGGTGCAGATTTGCGGCAGGAGCTGGCTGTGCAGCAGAAGCAGGAGAAGCCCAGGACGCCCATGCCCAGCTCGGCAGAAGCTGAGAGGACGGACACAGCTGTGCAGGCCACGGGCTCCGTGCCGTCCACGCCCGTAGCACATCGAGGACCCAGCTCCAGCCTAAACACACCGGGGACGTTCAAACGTGGTGAGGCAACGGGGATCCGCAGGGTGGTGGTTTCACATAGCTTGGCCCACTGAGAACCTGGGTGGGTCCTGGGTGAGGGGACTTGGCCGGGATGGATGGCAGGGCAGTCTGGGGCACTGGGCATGCCAGGGCACAGTGGTGGATGAGGGGAGTGTCCAGGATGTGAGGCAGTAGGGGGTGGCGGGGTCCGTGGTGAAGGACAGAAACCCTATCTAGAGGGGCACCCACCGCTCACTCCTGCCACAGGAAGTGGGCTCCGTCCCGCAGATGTGGCCATTCTTCACCAGAGAGAGACCTTTTCAAATATGAAATCCCCCAGTTGAATGACCAATAAAGAAGTGTGAAAAGCATCGTGGACACAAAGCTTGTGGGCTGGGCCTGTGACCCCAGCAGCTTGGGAAGCTGAAGCAAGAGAGTAGGCTTGAGGCTGGCGGGGGCCACTCAGTGAGGCCCCCAGCTCGAAAGTCAAAGCCTCATGGGACCAGCAGCTCCTCCATCCCAAGGGGACCCAGGAAACTGTGCTGAGTGGCAGAACCAGAGGTTTGAATTCTGCCCCGTGCCGAGTGCTCAGCTGGGAGACCCTGATCAGGCCACAGACAGCCAGGACCAAAGGACAGGTCTGCTGGCCCCCGAGCTTGAAGGGCTCTGCGTGTGGCCTCACGGTACTCGCCTCGGCCCTTAATATCAGAGCTGTCCCCATCTGGAGAGAGTGGAGACCGAGGCCCCGAGTCCCAGAGCCGCCTGGCATCCCTCGGGAGTCAACGGCAGAGCTGGGGTGGGAACCAGGCAGGCTGGCTCCAGGGCCCATAGCTTGTCCCTGGTGACGAAGAGATGGGGAGGGTCCTAGAGCCCTGCCTGGAGCGCTTTCCCTCTCTTCCAGGAGCCCTGAGCAGGACTCCTGGGGGTGCGTTGAGTCTCTTCCACGGGCACCTCGGGTTTGGCTGGTCTGGGTGACTTTGCATTTCTGACCAGCACCCAGGAGCGGCTGGTCCACGGAGCCACTTTGGGGAGGGGTCTCGCAGAGCAGAGCGCTTTGTGCTCCGACTCGCTTCCTGTGTAAATGTCACATTTACACAGCTAATGTGAGAGCGAGCTGCCTGGAACAGGTGCCGGGGCTGGCTGTGTGGAACCCTAGGGTTTCCACAGATGCTCGGTGGGGTCTTCACAAGGAGCAGAGTCCGTTGTCAGCAGGTCTCGGCACGTCACTCGCCTACCCCTGGTCAAAGAGGAGGCAGCCGCTTCCCCCTCCCCCACTGCCTCAGATCTGGACGTGTCAGAACACGGGTGAAGGCTGGTGTGTGACACACACTTCTCTTTGCACACCCAGGTCTGAAGGCTGGTGTGTGACACGTACTTCTCTTTGCACACCCAGGTCTGGACCACTCCAACAGTGGGACCCCCCTCACACCTGCAGCCCGGATTTCAGCCCTCAACATTGTGGGGGACCTGCTTCGGAAAGTAGGGGTAAGGCTCTCACCCCTGGACACTCTCGGGACATCTGAAAGGGCCCGTCTCACCAGGCCGTCTCCCCTGGGGCTGGTCCATCCCTGAGCTGGTCCATCTCCTGTAGCAGTTGCCAGAGGCCCCGAGCCCCGAGCCGGCCTTCCCTCTCACCTCGCCCAGGTTGTATCTTTTTTTTTCCTTGAACCGTTTTTCCCTTCAATTCAGGCTGATTTTTTTTTTCTTACTATGAAAAAACTGAGGGCCATTTGTAAATGGCTTTCTCTCCTTGGTTTCTCGGGGAGTTTAATGGACCTCTTAAGAACTTGTCCTTCCAGGTTTTACATTCATTACAGGGAGGGATTCTATTGTGCTTAAGCCATAGCACAGGGAATCTTGGTAGTTGTTTCTTTTATTTTTTTTTAGTTGTAGGGACACACAGTATCTTTATTTTTATGTGGCGCTGAGGATCAAACCCAGGCCCTCAGGCATGGGAGGCAAGTGCTCTACCACTGAGCCGCAGCTGCAGCCCTGTTTCTTTCATTTTTAAAGAAGGTGCCCGAGAGGCCTTGTGACTTCAGTCCTGCCGGCTGGTCACTGAGCAGCACATGTGTGTTGGTGGATACAGCTTCACGGAAGCTGGCCCCTCCTTCCTTTGGCCGTGGCTTGGGCCTCTCTTTCTGTTGCATTAGCAGGTCTCTGAATTTTTAGCCCAGTTAGAATACAAAGAGGCCAGGAGCTCTCGCTGCCCTTCGGTTTCCTCAGGGTCTCTCCACTGCAAGTTCAAGTCCCTGTGGAACCCTCCTGCCACTCTGCAGGCTCCATGAGGTCAACAGAAGAGTGTCCAACTGGAAGCCGAGTTCATGTTTCCTATGGGTGGAATTGGACAATAAAGCAGTTAGCCATTCTCCAGGAAGCTCCTGGGTATTCGGGGCAAGAGGTTCTAAGTCTTAGAGCTACTTGGGTTCCTCTGGCCCACCCCTGGGAATTCCAGCGCAGCACCGTTCAGGAACCACCGTTTCGTCTTCTCTGTGGGCGAGAGGGGTTCCTGCCCTGAGAGATGAAAGCTCGCTTCTCTCCAGGCTCTGGAGTCCAAACTCGCCTCCTGCCGGAACTTCGTGTATGACCAGTCCCCAAACCGGACAGGCGGCCCTGCCTCAGGGCGGGGGAGCAAGAACAGAGACGGCGGGGACAGACGGACCAGCAGCAGCGGCGGACCTCTGAGTGATAAAGGGTCAGTACCTTTTGCTGTGCTCTAGGTAGGGTGGGCCCCTGTGTGCTCCGGGTGGGAGACGCTGACCCCACCCATTGCCCCCTCTTCTAAGTTGTAGGATCATTTCAGTGAACCTTGCCCTCCTTTTCCTTGAGACCGAACGAGATGACCTCTGGTTTGAGCAAATGGCCACAAAGAGGGCCATTGCTATAATTGGATTCTGCAGCCCCAGCGTGGGGTCACGCCCTGGGAATGTCCTAGGAGGATCCCTTGTCCTGTGAGCTTGCGCTGCTTCTCTCAGAGGATTTTCTTTCTTCTAAGCCTGCAGCACCTTCAGGAATCTGAAGGGGCTGACTGCGCTCTGGCCAGGCTAGAGTCCTGGTGAGAGGCCCAGTCTGACCCCAGCAGCCTCACAGATTTTCTTGCCTGAAGAAAACCAGGGCCGCCTCCAGACACAGGAGTTCCCCAGGAGGCACCACCGTCCTCCTGGATGTAAACCTGGTCCTCCCCATATGAACCCGACAGGTGGCAGGCACCTGGCAGGAAGCCCAGTGGGTTTCTGTGGCGTGCACTTGGACATCTAGAAGCAGATTTGTTTTTCGGGGAGGGGGCTGGCAGGGGTGGTGGGTACTGGGCATTGAACTCAGGGGCACTTGACCATTGAGCCACACCCCCAGCCCTATTTTGTATTTAGAGACAGGGTCTCATTGAGTTGCTTAGCGCCGCACCGTTGCTGAGGCTGTTTTTGAACTCTCAATCCTCTTGCCTCAGCCTCCTGAGCCACTGGGATGACAGGCGTGCAAAACTGCGCCCTGCACAGATTTTGTTTTAAAATTTAATTTTTACTTCTGCACATTTTAAATTTGGGGGCTGGAGTTTTAGCTTATGGGATGCAAGCCCTGGGTTCAGGTCCCAGTGCCCCCCCCCCCACACACACACACAACTTAATCGACAGGTGGGAAGCAGGTGTTTTCAGGCGTCTTCTGAGAGAGGGCTTGAGGACACAGCCAGGTGGCCAGTGTCTGTCCTTCATGTCACAGGAGGGAATATCGAGACCCCGTGAGACGTGCTCCCTCTCTTGGCATTCTTAGGTCCTTCTAGGCCCCTGTTAGCCGCCGTGTCACCTCTGTCCTGTCATCTGACTCTGGCTTGCTCTGTCTGAAGGTTGGGAAAACGTCTGGACCTCGGGAAGCCACCCTCACGGTCCTCCTCGCCGCCGCCGCCCGCCCCGGGGGTGGTCAAGCTGTTGTTCTAGGAGCCCAGAGCTGGAGCCCGCCGGAGGGTGCGTCGCCACGTCCCCTGCCCAGTAGGCTTTTGGTGTCAGTTTGAGAAACGGGAGCCAGCAGTCACCGTGGTTTGCTGGTGCTGCGTGGCCCAAACCAAGGACCAAGGCTGTCACCTGGGGCCCCGGTGTCATCCCCATGAAATGATGTCTCTGTCCCTAGCGTCACTGTCAGTGTGCACATCCCAGAGGCAGGGACAAAGTGGGCCCCTGAGAAGTGTGAGACTGTGGGTGATGAGGCGCCCCATGTCGGTGCCCGAGTCCCCGTGGCCCTGAGCGGTGCTTCTTGTGTTTGGGTTCCCCCACGGGGCGCTGCGCTCCCTGGGCTCGCCTCCCCGGCCCTGTCCCCTGGAGCTGTCTTCAGGACAGACCCTCTCAGGCCCACAGTGCCCTGAAATCGGCCCTGAGCCTGCGTCCAGGAGTGAGAACGGAGGACACATGTGCCTTTTCAAACCGTGTCCTGTGCCTCTGGGGCGGTCGCCTGCCTCTCGCGGAGGTTAGACGACTTTCAGAGTCATTCTCAGGTGGGTTGGGGTCAGTGGGAAGTCTGTCCTCTGTAAATGCTCATCCTGGTCTTCCCGAGTCCTCTGCCCCCGTGTGGACATCTGCATTGGGACCTTGGGGTGGAGTGACCGCAGTGACATAGCCCTGAGAACAGGACTTGGAAATATGGGATCATCATAAGGTAACCAGGGTGGCCTTCCAATGAGAAAGGAGCTGGAGGTCGCGGTGGGCCTGTGGTGGGAGGAGACCCGCCGTGGGATCCGAGTCTGCTCTGCTGGCCGCGCTGCACACCTGCCTTCGGACATGGGTGGAAGGCGCACCCAGCCACGGGAGCCCGCCCAGCCTGGTGGCCCGCTTTCCTGCCCAGCCGAATCACCGTGGGATGAGGACGGCTTCTCGAGAGCTGCCCGGGTTCAGGGGATTCGGCCTCCGTGCTGGACTTTGTCCCCGAAAGCATCCTAACCTGTGTCAGTGAAAGATGGACTTTTATTTTTTAAAAGAACAATAAAATCAAGAGGGACCCATGTGCAGCTGGTTCGTGCCTCGTGGTATCTGCCTCCACGTTGGCTTGTGAGCTTGTGAAAACTTTTTTTTTTTTTTAAACCAAGTCACAAAATATGAAAAAAAAAATCTGCTTTTTAAAAATTTCCCTGCAGGTCAGCCTGCTGGGGATGCTGGGCGACACTTGGGCCCCCCTTCAAGGGTGTTGGGACCCGGTGTGCTGCTGAGGTTCCCGGTTCCTGTCCTCGCCTCTCTCCCCTGTGTCGGTCTGTGGTACCGTTGGTGTGAGAGAAGTTTTGCAAGACGTGCCTGAAGCACTGGAAGAAGGGAAGGGCCCTGGGCTTTGTAGGACCAACCTGCCAAGAAGGTCTTGATGCTTTTAAGGGTTTAAAAAAACTGTGCGACAGAGCCCGGAGCCACAGAGGCTAAGATATTTACTGAGACGGTCAACTACTCCCCTGATGGGCAGAGGACAGTCTTATAGTCAACTTTATTTATTTATTTATTTATTTTTTAATTTTTTTTTTTTATTTTTTTTTAAAGAGAGAGTGAGAGAGGAGAGTGAGAGAGAGAATTTTTATTATTTATTTTCTAGTTCTCGGCGGACACAACATCTTTGTTGGTATGTGGTGCCGAGGATCGAACCCGGGCCGCACGCATGCCAGGCGAGCGCACTACCGCTTGAGCCACATCCCCAGCCCCTTATAGTCAACTTTAAAAACATCAAAGAAATCTTGTATTTGCCATACGACGGATGAACGTCCCCTATTCAAGATGCTTGGGACCAGAAGTGTTTTGGATGTTGGTCTTTAAAAAAATTGGGATATTTGCAGATAGAAATGAGGTATGTTGGGGATGGATCCATGTCTACCAAAAAAACCCCAAACACCATGTTCCACATAGGCCTTCCACACAGCCTGAAGGTGGTGCTCCCAGGCGCCCGCGTTGTGCCTGGGACCTCACCTGGGGTCACGCTTGGAGCTTCTACTTCTGTTGCCATGCTGGTGTTGAAAAGGATTTGGGGGTTTGGATCAAGGATGCACAACCAGTAGGCTCTCGTGAGTTCTGATCAGTGAGGATGGTCTCCCCGGTCCTGGTCAAGGGCAGGGACAGAGCCCTCCTGGACCCCGGGCCACCTCCCTCCTCAGATGGCCTCACACTGCATCTCGCTGCCTCTTGCCAGCCATGGGACCTGGGGCCACCGGTCTCTCCTCCCTAGGCCTCGGTGTCCCCATTTTTTGGGGAGTTACCACCCTGTTGGGTCTCTGAGGATTGAGTGAGGCTGCCCCTGCCCCATTTCTTTGCTCTGTAAAAAAACCAAACGGATGTTCAACAGAAAAGCCGACCCTGTTCTCGTGATTTATAACCTTTTATTGGTGACAGTGGCAGTACAGTCAAGGTACAGTGTTGGCTTCACGTGGCTATGGAAGGCACGGGGCTGGTGGTGAACTGTGTGTCAAGTGTGGCCGCCAGGAGGGGGGGAGAATTCTCAAACAAGGCTGGACTCCGGAAGGTGGAGGGGTCTGCAGGTTGGGGTGGAGCTGGGAGCAGACAGGGTGGGGGGCAGGGGCGCCCGGGATGGCAACTTTCTCCCCATTTCATGTGAACAAAGGCGCTGGTGACCGGTCACTGTGGCTTTTCTTAAAACTCGACACTGGCCCGGTCCAGCGATGTGGGGGCCGTTCCTATGTCTCATCTGGGGCTTTTCTCCTGGGGTCCTAAAGGCCGAATCCACACCCCGATGGCAGGGGGAGCTTTCTTCCCTGGTGGTTGTGGGGTGTGGCGAGTCTGACGCTGGGAAGGGCTCAGAGTCTGCTGGTCGGTGGTAGGTCTGGCGATCCCCCTGTGGCCCTCGTACAGAACTCTGAGTTTATTCACTGGCCTTGGTTCCGTTGAAGTCTGCATCGCGGGCGTCCAGCTCCTCCTCGGATCCGTCTGCGTTTTCTATGACCCTGCGGCCTCCAGACCTCCTGGCAGGAACAAACGAGGTCTCGTTTCCCCGCCTGTGGATTGTAACAAGAAACGTTTCTCTGTAGTAGAGGCATCCTCTCGAGGTCGGAAGAGGTGTTCATCAGGGGCAGAGACCAAGCACTGGGCCTGGACACAATGAGACCCCGCCGCCAGGCTCAGGGCAGCAGCTGAGTCTGGGGTCTGCTCAGTTACCATTCACAGCTGAGAGGGGGTCAGGAGATTCTTTTCAGAGAGAGATGATCTGCTTTAAAGCCATCGAGCCTGGTCATTCGATGACCCCAGGGCTCTGGTCCGCTGTGGTCTTGAACTTGGATAGGAGGAGAGGGGTAAAAGGCGGGGTGGGTAGTGAGTCCCCTTGTTATCCAGGCCCAGGAGGGCAGCTGGGAAGGAGGGGACCATGCCGAGTCCCCCTCCGCCTGCCACCCTCTGTACTTCCGAAAGAAAAATGGGGATGTTGGGTGTCCACTGAAAGGTTTTAGAAGTGGACACCAAGGGCAGTGAGAAGGAAACAAGTCGGGGTGCAGAGGGGCGCCCCCTGGCTGCAGAGCAAGACGGTGCCCTGCTGGAGTGGAGACTCCTGGTTGAGTCCCCACAGGGGGACGGTGTGTGGTATATACCATGCAGGGCACAAGAGAGGTGCTCAACGAACATTTGTAGAGAAGCAGTTAGTCCAAGGTGGCCTTGAGCCCCAGGGGGCAGGACCCCTCCTGTCCCCTCTTCCCTGGGCCTGCCGTGTGCCCGAGTCATGCTCCAGGCCCACGCT